AGCGTGTTTTCCATAATCACTTTGACCAAACACAAATACAAATGACCAGAAAAAAGTGTTAGCATACGTTTTTATTTCATTTTCTGTGTAGTGCACAGTAAGGTTTTTATAACAGATGTGCATTAAATCTTGTGTCTCCCAGACCAGTAGTTTCCAATCATGTGGAGCAGCGCTGATTTAACTCCGCGGGTGTGATGATTGGTATTTAGCAGGTATCCGACATTCTCATCAGTGGTGCAAACAATGTGCGGCACTGATCTCAGTTCCCACAGAAGACGCTCTGCAGTGCTGATGATTTGTGCTTCAGCCTCACTGACACTGTATGAGCAATCAAACAGACGGATGGCCGGGATGAATCGGGGGCGTCCGGAGCTTTTCCATCACCTCATCATAGTAGATCTCGAAGAAAAACACAGGCAGCTCAAACAGGCAACTGTGGTGTAACTGGCTGGGGTGACCGGATTGGCATCCATAACATATCTCCTGCACATACTCATTCAGTGCCATCGACAGCAGGTGGAAGGTTGTGAGTTTAATGTTGAGTTCCGTTTCCTCAGACGGGTGTGATCCTGCAGAGTCCTGTGAGCATCCTGGAGAGGGGGGTGGAGTCTGTGGGGTCTGGTGTTAGAGTGAATTGTTAAATGTTTGTCATTTTTATGTTTACCATTTGTACATTGTTTTAACTCTGATGAAAGAAATTCCACTGTCCTTCCCCCAGATTTTCGAGGATCAAGGTGGGGGCTGTAGTCTTTTATCACAGACACATCCTTGTGCTTCTTTTGATGTAACCTTCCTGCGTTTATGACCCTTTGGTCAGCAGGAGGTCTGACACACACACACACACACACACACACACACAGCACACACCACACAACACATGCCTTGTCTGGGCGTGGCTTTGTTCTGACGTGTTTTGTGTGGAACGGTCTCTCAATAAGCGCAGGAGGAGGAGGATCTAGAGGTCATTTCATGGTGGCCTCCCTTGCGCAAATAATCGATCGATCGACTGTCTTGTTTTCTTCATGATGAATAAGTCTCTAGAATTCGCGGGGCTTGTGGAACACAGATCCAACATCTGGACATGTTGGATCTGTGAGTGGTCCACAACATGGCAGATGTTGTCTGTAAAAGAAATCCACACATTGCATTTTTTTAAAAATATCGAGTATAATGCCAACGTCTCACACAGAGACAACCTACCTTTTGTTTTTTTTTTTTTGTTTTTTTTCTGTCCTCATGGTTTTGGCCTCAACATGGCAGAAGGTAACCAATCTTCGGGCCATGTGCGAGCCGATCATATATACAAGACGCGTCCTAATATTCTCATAAGAGAGTTGTTTGTATGTGCTATTAAAAAAAAAAAAAAAAAAAACAAAAAAAAAAAAAAAAAACAAGCCTCAGAATGAAACAAAATGAGGCTAATTAGTTCTTTGCCTTATATAGTGTACAAAGGTTGCAGCCTTGTTCTATCATGGAAATGTTAGTAGACTCCTATGACTCACAGAACATTTGAGCCGACCTGGTTTTCCATTTTAGGATGAAACCTCTTCTCACCCACACTCTGCTATTCATCTCTGTTTTTATGTTGCGGCTTTTGAGCCGGGTCGTAACACTGAAGATTACAAAGATCAACATTAAGACCAGTCTGTGCATTCAAAGCAGTGACAGAAAAGAGTGTGGGGCATTAACCCCCACTCACTGAAATGGCATCCAAGATGCCTTCATAACTTTAAGAAAAGGAAAGAAAAAAGGCAATAAAATGTAACTCTAGGAATCACTCATTTCATCCACCTTTGCCACCATTTTCCTAATTAGAAGATGAAATGAATCGATTAGCTCAAAGAAATTCCACTGCAGACGAGTGTTTTGGTGGTTAACCCTTGGTAAGTCCTAAAAAAAAAAAAAAAAAAAAAAAAAAAAAAGTACCCCTTATGAAGACCTAGAGCCAAAAATCGACCACGCCATAAAAAGTGCTATAAAAAGATTATACATTAATATTTTTCCACTTTAACTTATCCAATATTTAGACTTACTTCTCCTTGAAATATTCATATAAAGTTTTAATTATATTTCGCGATTTTAACCTTTTATATCCCGGTTTTGTCACATGAGCACACTGCCTTTTTTGGCAAAAAAAAAAAAAAAATGAAAAAATTAAATATTTTCCATAAAATACATTTGAAAGTTATATTTATTGTACTTTAATTAGGCCTTTGGATGGTCTAAAAATTACTACTGACCTTCATTTGATCGGCCGTTAGTTTTTTTTGCAGGAGAACGTTTTTCACTCTTGCCCAATAAATGCATATTACCTTGTTGCCATCTAAAATCAAATAAAAAGCATTATGTAAATAAAAATACAAGATCAGTTTGAACCAAATAAACATTTTTCAACAATGAACAAGAACATGTATATGGTAAATGTAATTATGTATATTGTTGTTGGGAATGGGGAAATGTATGAGAGAGAAAGAGTGTGAGAAAGTGAGAAAGCAGTGAGAGGGTGGGGGGCGTGTGTGTGGCTGGGGGGTAAATGTCTTGCTCAGGTAGAGCAGTGGCTGCAGACAAATTGCTGTGGGCTCGGCAGCTGAATTTTCCACATTTGCTGCATGTGTTTCCCACTCGCCTCCTTTTCCCAACACAGAGCTCACAGAGCTTCCTGCCCTTGGGATTTGTCACTCCAGAGGGGCCTGCAGCAGCACCATCCTGCGCATCTCTTACTAACTCAGCAGCGGCTGATGAGCGGGGAAGACGCTGTCTTTGTGACAAATGGGGCGTGATCAGGCCTTCTCCCACCTCTTCAATGAACATCCTCCTCCTGTGTGGCTTCTGCTGATGCCAGGCCTGATCCACGGAGGTCCACAGCATGAAGGCGTTGTAGAGGGAGACGTCTATGATGTGATGAAAAAGGGCCATTGGCCATCGATTGGTCCGTCTCCTGCAGGAGTAGGTGCCGACAACCTAACAAAAAATAAACATAACAAAAAAAAAACATAAAACCTCTGTATATTTTACACAAGAATATATGAAGAAAATGAATAAAGGTGTGCGTAACTGATGCGTAATGACACAGACCTTATCAAGGTTGTCGACACCTCCTTTGCATCGATTGTAGTCTGTGATGATCGCTGGCTTTTTTTCTCTCGTCATCGCTGACCTCCGGCCTGCGATGTTTCGTGCTCAATAAAGCACATTCCTGCCCCGTTGGGAATGTACGACACTAGGGTCTGTTTCGCTGAAAAGGCAAAGATCGAGGAGTAGACGGCTCTCCCTCTCATCTGGCGCAAAACGGGTGGGATTCCTTTTTTGTTCTGGCGGATTGTGCCGACCAGAGCCATTTTATTTTTGAGGAGTTCCTCTGCCAGTTCAGATGAGGTGAAAAAAAAGAAAAAAATTGTCGACTGTGACGACATGCCCATGGAGCCCGTCAGTCATCTGCTGGACGACCCTCATCCCCTGGTTTACCTCGGCCGGTTCGCCTGCTGCTCTCCCGGTGTAAACCTGCAGCCGCCAGGCGTATGATGTCTTGACATCGCATGCTGCCCAGACCTTTATGCCGCATTTCGCAGGCTTTTTGGGGATATACTGGCGGAAACTGCACCTTCCCTTGAACGGTACCAGCTGCTCATCCACCGTAAGGTCCCGGTCTGGACTAAACAACATCCCCAGGCGGTGTGCCCACATGTCCCATATCTGCCGAATGGGAGCCAATTTGTCCGCACGTCGTGCAGGTCGGGTGAGTTTGTCATCAAATCGGAGCGCTCTGATTATGTGACAAAATCTTTTCTCAGCCACTGAGGCACGGAAAATCTTCCTTCCCGTTTTCTCACTCCAAAGGCTGGCGATGGCCTCGTGCTTTGACCGGTATACACCGGACAAAATTAGCAGCCCCACATAAGCGAGCATTTCGTTGCTATCTAAATCTCTCCAGAATGAGATGTAGCGTCTGCCCTGAAGGTTTGTCATTGCAACTATATGCTGTATAATCCCATCAGTTATGTACAACCTGAAGCTGGAGAGTGGGTCCGTAATTCGGGCTACGGCGTAGTGGGTCGGTCCCGGAATAAGCCCCGTGGGTGCTGCGACGTAGCGCAGCATCTCGGCGTTTGTTGCGGACCATTTCTTCCCATCTTTGGAGGTCCACGCCGCTGCTTCCTCCGGCGTCCTCCCCTCGTTCTCATCTTCAGAAGAAAAATCAGAGGACGACTCCTGGTGATCAGTGTCGAGAGACGAATCATCCGTGTCACCCCCGGAATCAGAGTCACTCTCGGCAGATGAAGAGGAGAGATCCTCGCTGTCAGAGCGCATCAGGATGTCCACTACTTCCTCGGTACCGTGCCATCGTGAAAATGCCTACTCCCGCGCTACGGCTTATTCTTATAACCTCTCCTGCCTGCACCTGCATAAACAAGCTGAGGTTGGCGACAAAATAAAGTCTAATTTGTTTTTTATTCTTGTTTTCATGTTAGATTTGTTTGCATTGCAGGGTGTACTTCAAAGAGGGAAGGCTTTTATCTAAACTTAGAATGAGACAGACACAAATTTTTTTTCTTTAGGCAGAGAGACCTTTATTTTATTTATTTTTAAATATAAAGGTCAAAATGCACCCTCTAACAGCCCTAAGGGCAGAAAATGGTCCCGAACGAGCAGCGGGCCAAGCTGCTGCTGCACTCGGGGAATGAGTCTGCCTTTCCCGGGTGTATGTCTCGAGCAGCCCGCTGGAAAAGGTCTATGTTCCAGCAGGCGTCACATGCGGAACAAGGGCGCCTCCCGGTGGCCAAATAAAAAAAAATACAATTCTAAGGCCCCTTGTCCAACACGGAACCGAAACAGAAGCCATCACCCATACGTTAATGGTAATAATTCTGCAGTGAAAATAGCGTTTATAATGGGTTTCAATGGGGCGATTTATGGCTCTAGGACCTCATGTGGATGGCGGTTTGTAGCTTAGCCACTTTAAGCTAATCTAATAAACGGAGACTGCAATTCTAAAGAAAAAAGAAGAAAAAAAAGGGTCGGAAGGTTTGGCTATATTCTATTCAACACAGTGAAAATGGCCTAATATTAAAAAACGCTGGGGATGAAAAATGGCTGTAGGTCCTACTGAGGGTTAAACTGCAAAGCAAGCCACGCACATGGTGCAGGCCACTTCTGTGGGCTCTATCAGGGATTTATGTGACTAGTCGACTAATTGTCACTAGTCTGTATCAGACTTACCAGTCGTTCAATCTAATTGTTAACATTTTAATTGATGCCCAATGCTGGTACATTGTGTTCTAAATGTTAGGCAGCGATCTACCACCAGATGGTGCACTGTTGTTGAGAAACGCCATAAATCTATTAATCTACCCTGATCTTCTTGTTAACACTGAGATCGCAGATACACGCAGAGGAAATTAGTTTCCTGAGAGGTGGAAAACCTCTCCTTTAGGAGAGCAGTTAAGTCAATGGGAGGGGCTCAGAGTAGAGTCACTACTCCTTCACATCAAAAGGTGACAGCCACCTTGGCCAGGAGGCTGTTCCAGCTGGGCACGTCCTACCAGTAGGAGGCCCCAGCATCCTTGGTCATGCTAGCCAGTTTACATCTATCAGCTGTGGTCAGGAGTAGTCCTTCCTGCTGCCCCCACAACCTGACTAGAAAACGGCTGTATAATGTATTACCTGAATCATTCTCGCCACACTTAGACGTACTTTTAGATTCTCAAATGATTGTCATATTTTAATAGAACATCTTTTGTAGTAATGCATTTTTATTTGTATTTAACAGAATGTGATAAATGGTTTAAGATACCTCTGCGTCTAGTTTGACAGTTTCTATTAATCAGTTCTGAAAATCAACTCAATATCTGAATGTTCCTTAGTTTTACATTAGTTGGTTAGTCTAATTATTTCCCCCTCGATTAGTCGACTAGTAAATAAGACGCCGGGAACATCCCTACTCTTCAGACAAAATGTGAGTGTGAATTACACACCAAGGTATTAAAATGGATATGGAGTGTGGCTTTGGTTTACCATAAACAGCTGATGTAAGGACATCATTAATGTACTCTGTCCAATGAACACTGGAAACAAGACTGCACTGACCTTGCTGGCAAACCTCAATGAGTTCAGAGTTTCCCCAAAGCTGTCGGGCTCCGGAGCAATGTTAACAAACATCAAGCTGCAAATAAAGACATCCAAAATTAGTGCCAAAGAATAAACAGTCACAATCTGAAGTGATGAGATCAAACGCTGTTAAATATTTTTTGGGGATAAATTCCTTCAGTTTTATGTGTCGTCATTATAAAGATTTGTGATGTCAACAAACTCACGTTTTGCCGTTTCCCCCCCAAACATCCCTGAAGGAGGCCAATTAGCACCAGCTGAAAACACTGAGACGATTAGAAGCTGCAGAGGGACGTAACACCTCCTCCCTTAAAAGGGTTCCTCTAGGACCCCTAAACAAATTAAGAGTCCCTCTGAAGCCTTGATCCCTCAAAAGTAAGTTGGCATCTTTAAGCATGGATGCCCCTACATGAGGATCTGAAGTTGCCACACTGAACAGACAAAAAGTAACATGTGACCAACACAAAGGAGCACAACAGTCAAGCCCAAAATGATTACCTGACCTGCTACAACACAAAACCAAAAGTAGCAACAAATAATCACAAGTGATCTGTTGTCTCATAGTCACATACAAGTTACTCTAATCCAAAAAGTTCAGTAAATCAAGCACACTAGTGACCAACCACAAAATAGAGAGTTATGGCCACACAATGATCACATCAAGGGTGGCTCAGCACCCCACAGTGTTATTGCCATCACCTGGCCAACAACACTCACAAGTGATCCAACAAAATAGCCATATTCCCCACAACACTAAAGGTCACATCACAAAACGCTCACCTCACAAGGATCTCATTAGCATCTATCAACACTGACATATGCACACACATGGTGTACACACAATGCCAACTTAAAAAACAGCCTACCTGCCTCAGCTACAGACCATAATCATGAATAGTCTCAAACCTCCTACCAGGTTTGGTGCCACTGATTTACTATGTGCAACTCCCAGCCTAAAACACTAAAAACAACAAAACCCTTACTTTTCCTACCCTTGTCTTCAGTGGTGTACCAGGCTCGAGGCAACTTTAAACGCGAACTCGAGAGCAGGCAGCAGACCAGAGATAGTCTCCTACCAAACTCTGAAGCGTACCCCCACCCAGGATAGCCACCAAACACAAACTAAAACAATAAAGCAAAACAAACAAGTGCTTCGATGGAAGGGCAGCACAGTCACCCAGCTGAAACACACTAAAGGGAGTTCGCTCAATTACACTGAACACCATCACTCACCCACTTAAAAGCAAAACAAACTGATATTCAGTCTCCACTAAAATGTCCAAAGATCCCGGACGAGCCACCACTTATGTTACGACCCGGCTCAAAAGCCGCAACATAAAAACAGAGATGAATAACAGAGTGTGGGTGAGAAGAGGTTTCATCCTAAAATGGAAAACCAGGTTGGCTAAAATGGCTGGTGCCACCAAGGCAAAGACTAGTGCACTGCCGGGAAGCTTGCCTCAGGTATGCTTTTATCCACACCTGACTAGGTGTGGCCAATTAGCACCAGCTGAAAACACTGAGACGATTAGAAGCTGCAGAGGGACGTAACATTCAGTATTGATATTTGTAAATGTAAACTATGAGGATTTATTTATTTTTAATTCTTTTCTTTTTTTTCTTTTTTTCCCCTCTTTTTTTCTTTTTCCAAATAAATGTCCCGATTGAGTAATGAAACTAACCCAAAGGAGAATTCTAACAATATTAGACAGGCCATTCAATATGCTTTATCGTGGACAACTCGTGGCTAAAAACCCCCCCACACACACACACAAACCTCTAATCAAACATGAAAACGGATAATCCAGCTGAAGCTTCAGACAGCCGTCAGACAGTGAAACACTGCCATCTGCTGGACTCGAATAACAAAGACGCTGCTTTGACGGGTGAGGAGTTTCAACAAGTCTGCAACGACTCAAGCATCAAACTACAGAACTATTCTAGCGGACATGGTGCTCTAATGACTGCTTCATTAACGCAGGTCAGAAAGGATCAAACATATCAATAAATTATAAAACACAAAACGTCTCTTATTGCCCAGGGCTCAGGAAGTGAGTGTGTTCCTTATAGCCTATTAAACCTTAGCAGGTTATTTTGATGTGTTACAGATGAAACAGCTATCCAGTAACATTCAGCTACAAAAACGCTTTTTTATAATTACTTTTTTACAGCTTCGCACTTTTACACAAGTTTTATCATCAGTGTCACAATGGCTGCTGCTAAAATTGAGTACAAGATATTTGTTGCCTGATTAAAAGGTCTTGATGCGTGCTCAATCATCAGGGAAGTAAATCTCCAAAAGTTGATTCTGTTCTTCTGGACGTAGCGTTTTCAGTCAGAGAAACCAGCCGACTGAAGGAACAATGGGCTGGGAGGTCAGTTCCTTAATCATGATTATGCAAATTCTCATGACCATTGATCAACAACCACTGATCAATGGTCCTGAGTACCATTCACAGAGAGTTGGAGAACGGCTGCAATCACAGCATTGTAAGATGGTGACAGATGTACCCTTAGGCCCCTCCTTGATTCAGAGAGGGTCTTTCCCTTTTCACGTAAATGGCCTCCTTGACTCCGCCCTCAAACCAGCGTTCATTGCAGTTATTGTTGACAATCACATTGTGTCGTGTAACCATCCAGCTCACATATTCAATGTAAATGATTTGTTGAACTGAAGACATGATGAATGTTCCTGCATTAAAACACATCCAGCCTAGTGTTCTCAATCTCCTAAATGGATCTGTTACATTAGTAATATATGGGAGTTGTGTTTCAGTCTTTTCCACATGAGGACATTTACATTTAGTTTTTGCTTTACTGATGAGTGGCTGGTTAACCTGCAGTGGTTGAAGTATGTGTCGGTCGTCTGGAAGAGTAGGTGTAGAAGACGTCTTTAATGAATGTAATGCTCTGAAGGTGTCAGTGATTACTGTGAATTCATTATAAAGTGGATTTCAGTGAATAAAGTGAATAAAGACAGGCCCTCATGGTGACGCTCAGGTGTCCATAAAGTGTAACAGGAGAGCTTTGTCATACTTTCAGAGATTTTACATGAGCCAGTCTTTCAAAATTACATAAATAAATAATTCATTCATTCATCCACAGGAAACACAATGCTCATATCTGAAAGTAAACTCTGATATATATCCCTGACTAGAGTTACTACTAATAAAGGATCGCCCCAAAATGACTAAATATATAAAGACACTCTCCAGAAGAAGTTAAAGGGATTTTATTTATTGTACAAGCAATATCTTCATAAGAATTACAAATTCTGCAGACATATTACCTTCTTACTGAACCTGAACAACTCACACACAGACGTGTCTGCTGCTTATCTTTGTTCAAACATGATGTTTTATCTTCTCTTCAAAACACATTACTCATCTTTCTGGCATCGTGTTACATGAAAACACCTGCATTCTACCTGTGTCATTGTACCACAAAGACAATGATTGCAACACTGTGCTTGCAAAATAGAAGAAATAAGACGACCAGCAAATACATAAAAGATGGTAAAAGTGATTCCATCTTTGTGTCTCCTCCCATTGTTTCCCCAGTCTGTCTAGTTCCCATATTCCCAGGACACCGCTGGACAACAAGTGGGTATTCCAAGACTGAGAGACAGCCAGAGTGGGCAAAAGATCAGACATTCTCCACTTAAGTAGAAGTAAAAATACTATTGTTCCAGTGAAAGTTAAAGTACTGATTCAACTTCATTACTCAGCTAAAGCAAAAAAGTACAGGCTCGAAGCGCTTACAGAGAAAAGCAGACAACAGAATACAACAGAATGCTGATGGCGGCAGTAACACACACTTGGAGGAGAGGCTCCAGCCGTCCATTCCAGCCCTATCCCTAACATTAACTCTAACCATAACTTTAACCTTAACCCTATCAGGTATTGTTTTACAAAGCGATTCATGATTAGAACAAAAAACACATTTACACATACCGATGATTTGTCACATAGCATCGTTACCTGTTGGGATGAGAACGTGTTGTTTCCAGAGCACCACAAATTGGGGTGTCTGTAGCTCAGGTAGAGCAGGAAACCTACTAATCAGAAAGTTGCTGGTTCAATCCCCGCCTGCTCCAGCCTGCATGCCAAATATCCTTGGGCAAGACGCTAACCCCAAGTTGCTCTCCGATGCATCCATCGGGAGGATGAATGCGTATTAATGTTAGATAGAAAGCACTTACAGAGAAAAGCATAGAAAAAAGTGAGTGCATGAATGAGGCAAGTTGTAGAGAGTAGAAAGGTTTTATACAAGAACCAGTTCATTTACCGTTATATTTTAGTTTCATTTTCAGTTCTGTACTTTTTACATGTAATATTGATTCATTAGATTGACTACATGCATTAGACCTAACTTGCTGACAGCAAATTTAAACAACCGTAATAATTTATTTTCAGCGTCTGAATATTTATTTAGTTTGTTTTTTGTTTTCTTTTTGGCTCCTGATATTAGTCAACTACTATTTGTCAATGTTGAACTAATAATGAATCTAAGAAAAGCTATTTGTCACGGTTGGCCAGCGTCAACCGTGGGGATGTGAGGAAGGAGGAGCCAGGCACGGAGCTCTGAATGCAAGCAGTGCGTTTATTTACAGTGAATGGAAAATAACAATAAATCCGCAGTGCGTTCCCGACTCCCGTGAAATGTCCTCTTCCCAGTGCTAGTGTTCCTTGTCTCCGCTCCTCAGTGTCTGAGCACCCCGTGCTCGCTGCCCTCTCGTCTCCACGCTTCTCCTGGGGAGATAACAAACAGGCAGCCGTAAGACACATACAATGCGGCAGACTATCCGTACTGACTGGCCGAGAGACTAACGTGAAGTCACGCAATGATCCAGCGTCAGAGAGAGCGCCACCGCATTCTCAAGTAGCTCCTCTGACAAGGCTTGATCAGCTGTGTGATGGTCTTCAAGTGTGGCCAACCACCTGGCAGGGCCACACCCACCAGGCCTGAAGGTGCCTGTAAACAGGTGCTCTCAGAAACTCCGGCATCCACACACACACACACACACAGATATACCTGCAAGCAGGGAGAACGAGGACAGCACACCAAAAACACACATGTCCATAACTGCTGGGTCGTTTAGACTCCTGAGCTGTGCACGAGGGGTCGAACACCCACTGGAAGGCCGGGCACTGGTTTTCAACTGTAATATACCTGATGTGCTCAGGTAACCTGTAGCGCCATGAAACCACTGTCACACCAGGGCGCATAAAAATGATG